AAGTCATTCTATTCATGACTCAGTTATCAGATTGCTTTTCTGCCAAATATCGTAGAACGCAATGTCAAAAGAATCGGCTCGTGAGTGGCCAGTCGCGCAGCCCACAATCAAAGATGGCGGCCAGCTACCTGTCGAGTCGACGGCGTGTCCATTGGGCTGAGGTCCGTTGGCGGCCTCGACGCGGATACATCCGTCCTGGCGCTCTGACAAGGTTCCCTGAGAGGAGAGGTAGCTCGGCACGTCGGGAGGGACGATGGTCTCGTCTGCAGAGAAGCGAGCCGCATAAGCGTGAGAGGAGGACTCCGAAAGCCGGACACGGTTGCCCTTGAAGCGAAATGACTCACCGGTGTTGGTGACGCTGCAATCCTCGCTCTTTTTCCTCGTCTGGTAGATGATGCACACCCACACCAGGGAGGTGAGCACGATACTCGTCACCACGGCGATGACGACGATCCCGACGGTGACCGTGCTCACGCCGGCCGGCGGGGCGCAGGGCCCGCGGCGCCGAGTGACCAGCAGCTGGCTGTGAGCGCGCTCCGTGCCCAGCGTGTTGGACATGAGGCAGGTGTAGCGGCCGGCGTCCTCCAGCGTGGCGGCGCCGATGACCAGCAGCTGGTTGCCGGGGGTGAAGTGATGGCGGTCGGACGGGCGCAGGGGCCGGTCGTCGTGGAGCCACGTGATGCGGGGCGCCGGACTGCCCAGCGCCTTGCACTGCAGGGCCACCGTGTCGCCCACCGCCACGTTGCGATCCTCCAGGTCTTGGGCCAAGTGGGGGGTCTCTGCAAGGCAACCGGAAAAGGGGGCTTCAATGCAAAGGAGGCGGTGAAGGGACGCCAGAGCGCCAGTCAAGAGCTGAGACGCTGACCCCAAAGTCAAGTGCCTCATCCAGTCGGCGCGCGACGAAGGAACGAATGACTCCCAAGTGCTCTTGGGAAAGGAGAGCCTCCATTTGAGCCAGCTGCCGAAGATGAACCAAGCTGGATTTGACTCGGCAGGAGACTTGATTTTGAGTTGTATTGTTTTTGCGCTTTCCGCTGTCTTTGTAATTTATTACATTTTTTTTTTTTT